GGTGACTTTAGTAAATAAAAAGTTGAGAAGGTATTATATATTTAAATCTGTAGCAACGTAGTAAGAGAAGAGGTACATTATGGTGCCATAATTAGATAATTGCAGACCCAACCACAGACAAGAAATGGAATGTTCTCCTCCTTTATGGTTGATAGAAATGTAGCAAAATTCGTTGATTGGCATTTTCTTGAATAAGCTTTGGAGACAACAAAGACAGGCTGGAATTTCTGCCACTTGCTAGAAAAATGGTTTTGGCAAATTACACACCTCTCAATGCCTTCCTAACATTTTGTGTAAAATAATAAATTGTGTATATGTGGAATAAAATGCCTGCCTTCTAGAATTATTGAGAGAATTTCTTTCTTTCTTTTTAAGACAGAGTCTCACTATGTCACCTTTGGTAGAGTGCTGTGGCATCACAACTCACAGCAACCTCAAACTCTTGGGCTTGAGCAATTCTCTTGCCTCAGCCTCCCAAGTAGCTGGGACTACAGGCACCCGCCACAATGCCCAGCTATTCTTTTGTTATAATTGTCGTTGTTGTTTAGCAGCCCTGGTGTATGTGGCTGGCGCCCTGCTGACGGAGCTATGGGCGCCAAGTCTTGTTGAGAGAATTAAACAAGATATTACATGGAAGTATTTAACATGAACATACACCAAATGCTCAATAATTTTTTTCCCGTTAAGGTTTCCCTTAACACTCTGGAAATCACTAGGATGTTAAATTCATCTAGTTCAACTCTCTCCCTTTTACAGATATTTTCTGAAGATATTTTGTTAAGCACATTTGTATACAAATTTATGCAAAGATGATGTTTTGAGCTATAATAGTCAGTGATCCTCAGATTTTACCCTGGAACCATATGAAAACTTACCACAGAAACCCAAGACAGCAAAAGGTTCTGTTCAATGCAAAATGGCAGCTCCTCAGAGTTTTGTGGTCTCTGTAAAGGCCTATCCGTACCAAATCTATTCTGAAAACCAAAGCAGGCCAAAGAGATAGAAAAGAAGTAAGGTTATTGGCAAAAGATTTTTTAAAGTTCAATCGGAAAAAAATCCTACTTTGTAATATCTTGATTTGTGTTTCATTGCTAATGATTATAGTTGCATATGCAAGATGTATCTCTGTTTATGCACGTAACACAAGAAATGCTGACATATTCGGATCAAATCTGTTTACATTTAGCTTTAGATTTGGGGATAGGTTGATTTGATGATTAATTAAGATATGAAAAATCCATCCATGGAGGTATGGGAAATAAGAGAAATTCACAAAACAATCATTTTTTAGTTTAGAGGAGGAAATGGAGAGATTTGTGTTAAAAATCTCTGCAGTGTTGCTATATTCTCTGCAGTGTTGCTATAGTCTCTGCAGTGTTGCTATATTCTCTGCAGTGTTGTGTTGCTATATTCTCTGCAGTGTTTGCTATATTCTCTGCAGTGTTGCTATATTCTCTGCAGTGTTGCTATATTCTCTGCAGTGTTGTCCTTAGAAAGCAGTAATATTCCACATGCCCCACGTCCTGGAGGTCTTTCCGTATGTTACTAAACTAAGATTGAGGTGGTACAAAGTGATGGTGGTGAAAGCTAAAAAGCTTCAGATTGATGCGGGCTCAGGTCAGCCTCAACGCTTGCTGTATAGTGACAGGGCATTAAAAAAAGACAGAAGTAAGATAAACATTAGTGACTCCAATTCAATAGCTTTTCTAGTTTTTCTTTTTTTCTTTTTCTTTTTTTTTTTTTTTTTTT